AAAAGTCTACGGCTTACCATGGCCGCCTTCTGCAGAATTCCGTTGTCCGGCCCCGCTTGTGTGATCTGTACAGCAAGACCCCAGGCACTCAAGGTGAAGACAGAAAATTCGACCTTGTACTGAGTGCACATGTGATAGGTACTGTGCATGGTCTTGTTCACAGAGAAAGACTATATTCACTGTTTGCAAAAATGTATCTTTTTGAGGAATTCACTCCCTTTTTCCCATCCCACAGCTGCGAGCGTTTCCCGAGCTACCCCGGCATCCCCCTCCCAGAGGCTGGCGCAGATCAGGCGGCGAAAGAAAAGGACACGGAACGAGATGTTCTCAGAACTTATGGTCTGTTCCCGAGCCGAGGCGGCACAGCAGACCCAGTGGAGGGAGAACATGTCACAATACCAGCGATCACACAGCGAACGGGAGGACAGGTGGCGGCAGGAAGACCAGCAGGCGACTCAAACGCTGCTTGGACTAATGAGGGAGCAAACGGACACGCTCCGGCGCCTTGTAGATGTTCTGCAGGACCGGAGGCAGGAGGACAGAGCCCCGCTGCATTCTATCTCTAACCGCCCTCCCCCGCCACAAAGTCCCATCCCCCCCTCACCCAAAGTCCCAAGAAGGAGGGGTGGCAGGGGCCGTGAAAACAGTCACTCCACCCCTGCAGACTGCTCAAATTGCAGAAGGCTCTCATTCCCAAAGATTTGATACGTCCTTTCCTTCCCTCCAAATGTACCTCACCCAAGCCCCCGTCCCAGTTTCATCCCCTAACTGTGTAGTTCTTAATAAAAAATACGTTTCTGTTAATTACTGTTTCCGTCATGTTCTTTTAGAGGACAGTGTGTTTGAAGGGGGGGGGAAGGGGGTTGGTAATTGGAGAACACAGTCACCTTTACCAGGGTACAGACACGGGGGCAGGTTCAGCAGAAGGTCACACACACATTGCAGTCACTAGGCACACTGGTCAGTCTGGGAGGTGGTTTTCATGTTCTGTGTGGGAGGGCTATGTGAGTTTGTGGCGGGGGAGGGCGGTTACAGATCTTATGCAGCGGTCCTTAGCCTGGAAGACAGAGCCACGCAGCAGGGGATCTGTAACCGCCCTCCCCCGCCACAAAGTCACATAGCCCCCACACACAGAGTCCCGAAAAGGAGGGGTGGCAGGCTCCGTTGAAACAACCAGTCCACCACTGCAGACCGCTCTAGGAGCAGGAGCCTGTCATTCCTCGCATTTAGAAGCGTCCTTTCCATCACTACACCCGCTCCCCACCACACCACCCGCTCCACCCCACTGCGTCCCAGTTTCAACCCTTTACCGCGAAATCCTTAATAAAGAAAACGGTGTTAATGAACAAAGTTTCATTTATTTTATTTTTAAAGGTGTGTTGGAAGGGGGGGAAGGAGGTTGGTAACTGGAGAGGATAGTCAACATTAACTGGGTAAAGAAACGGGGGCAGGTTCAGCTTCTGTTTAAACAAACGTAATAGTCACAGGTTACCCTGCTCACTCTGGAACCTAGCTTTCAAAGCTTCCCGGATGCACAGCGCGTCCCACTGGGCTCTTCTAATCGCCCAGGTGTTTGGTTGGGCGTAATCAGCAGCCAGGCGATTTGCCTCAACCTCCCACCCCGCCATAAACGTCTCCCCCTTGCTCTCACAGAGACTGTGGAGCACACAGCAAGCTGCAATAACAATGGGGATATTGGTTTCGCTGAGATCAGAGCGAGTCAGTAAGCTTCTCCATCTCCCCTTCAGACGTCCAAAAGCACACTCCACCACCATTCTGCACTTGCTCAGCCGATAGTTGAAGAGTTCTTTTTCACTGTCCAGGGCGCCTGTATAGGGCTTCATGAGCCAGGGCATTAGCGGGTAGGCTGGGTCCCCGAGGATCACTATAGGCAACTCCACATCCCCAAGAGTTATTTTGTGGTCCGGGAAGTAAATACCTTCCTGCAGCCAGCTAAACAGACCAGAGTTCCTGAAAACGCGAGCGTCATGAACCTTGCCCGGCCATCCAGCGTTGATGTTGGTAAAACGTCCCCTATGGTCCACCAGTGCTTGCAGCACCATTGAAAAGTAGTCCTTTCGGTTAATGTACTGGCTGGCCTGGTGGGCCGGTCCCAGGATAGGGATGTGAGTTCCATCTATAGCCCCACCGCAGTTTGGGAATCCCATCACAGCGAAGCCATCTGTGATCACCTGCACGTTTCCCAGGGTCACTACATTTGAGAGCAGTAGCTCAACGATTGTGTTGGCTACTTGCATCACAGCAACCCCCACGGTAGATTTGTCCACTCCAAATTGATTCGCAACTGACCGGTAGCTGTCTGGCGTTGCAAGCTTCCAGAGGGCTATGGCCACTCGCTTCTGGACAGTCAGGGCTGCTCGCATCCGGGTGTCCTTGCGCTTCAGGGCAGGGGACAGCAACTCACAAGGTTCCAGGAAAGTTCCCTTATGCATCCAAAAGTTTCGCAGCCACTGTGATTCATCCCAGACCTGCAGCACTATGCGGTCCCACCAGTCCGTGCTTGTTTCCCGGGCCCAGAATCGCCGTTCCACAGCATCAACATGACCCATTGCCACCATGATGTCCACGACACGGGGTCCCGTGCTTTGTGAGAGGTCTGTGCCCCTCTCAGACTTAATGTCCTCACCGCGCTGCCGTAGCCTCCTCGCCCGATTTCTCAGCATCTGCCTCTGAAAAAGGTGCATGATAAGGCGCGAGGTGTTGACAACGGCCATAACTGCAGCGATGATCACAGCGGGCTCCATGCTCTCGGTGCTGTGGCATCTGCACTGTCAATCACCAGAAAAGTGCGCGAACTGATTGCCCGCCGGCACTTTCACGGAAGGAGGGCGGGAGTGAGGGTTGAATGACAACAGTTATTCAAAACCACCCTTGACACATTTTTTTACCCAGAAGGCATTGGGGGCTCGACCCAGAATTCCAATGGGCAGCGGGGACTGCGGGAACTGTGGGATAGCTACCCACAGTCCACCGCTTCCAATGTCGACGCTTGCCCCGTTAGTGTGGAATCACAAAGTCGAATTACTGTCCTTAGTGTGGATACACACGTTCGACTTTGTAATATCGGTTCCACAAATTCGCTTTAAGTAAAATCGAACTACTCTCGTAGTGTAGACATACCCTAAGGAACTCCAACAAGAACTGGAAATGCCAGACTGGACTCAGTCCTGTTTCATTCTTCCAATTCTAGGCCACTCTTTAAAAGTAGTTAAAACATTTATTTTTATTTATTCTTATAATTTTTACTTCAACCCCATCCATGGCTTTGGCTGCTTTCGCAGTAATTAAAAATACATAATATGAATATAAGCAATACCATTGCTGCAATGGCCATTGTCATCTCCTCTCCTGGACAGAAGAACCTCAAGTGAGTTATTTAATAATATTATTATATTAGATTTTCTAGCTGTGATGTAACTAGGCCTATTATCTTGGCTCCAGTAGACTTTCCTAATCATTCCAATGTATTCAGCATGCAGCAGCTTAGGTGATTAGGCCTTTTACCATCCTACTGCATTATACCCAGGAACCCAACAGAGCCAATCCCAAATGTACTGTCCTCTTAGTCTTTTGTGTACCTGATATACTCTGGGTATAAGAACTCAACTCTCATTCCTTGACTTCAGTGGGAGCAGTATTGAGACCAAAGGGCTCATCCTGTTAATATTTAGTACCAAGCATAGGCCCTAATCCTGTGAAGACTTACACATAGTCAACAGGACTATTCACAGTGCTTAAAATTAACCACATGAGTAAGTCTTTGTACAATTGGGACCATAGTGCTTACTACTGTGTCTCTTCAGAGCAGGGACTTTGTCACCACCATTTTCTATACAGTGCTAGTACACTGTTAGCATTCAGTAAAAGTAATAAGTTCAGCAGAGTTGGGTATCATCAGGAATTGGATAGGAGGCTTCCTTATAGTACCTAACTGCTAAGGAGAGTGGTGTTGGGGATTCAATAGATTGTAGTTTACTCTAGAGGAAAGTACCTAGCAATGTCCCATTGTTAAGGGACACTGCTGTTGGAGGTTCTGTAATTCAGGTGAGATGTAAAACTTAGGCCCTGACCACTTGCAGTTGTGAAAAAGTCCATGCTATCTTTTGTAAGAGTAGGATTGGTAACCTGCAGTGTTAGGAGTGACAGTTTACCTATTCACATTCTTCCATAGTTTCATTTGGATGAGGCATTTTTCACTTTCTGATCTACACTGCTCTGCTGATGCGGTACATTATTAAATAGCTGCTTTGTGACTGCTCTTTTGTGGTTGATAGGCCAAGTGTCCTGTTTGTTAATGCTTGGAATTCTTTGAAATAAAAGGCTTCCCCCAATCCCACGTGGGGCCTCCCTGTATCTCAATGGCAGAAGCAATAGAAGGAGAAGAGGGGCAGAGAATGAGCGTGGTATTGGCTTTGCCTCCCCACAGCCCACCAAGTGCAGGTGAGTTGCATTAAGGGGAAGTAATTTGCTATGGTCTGCGATGTAGCAGGAGCAAATGGGGAGCACAGAAGAAATTGTGAATCTCTGAGTTAAAGTTTCTTCCTTGAACTTCTGGGGTGGCACAGCTACCTTACACAGGGCTGTTCCTAAAGGGACAGACTATCCCTTAGTGAGCTCATATACCCCACATGGAGGTGACCAGCTACCTACTAATTTGATAATGGTACTGTTGATACCATTAGCTCCATCCTGGGGTTATGACAACTAGTATTAAACTGCAAAGCCTAGAAACTGAATGACCAGTTTCTATCATTCACATGAACATGATTCTTTTCTATGAGTTCACTCTTCTATTTAGAGAAAGATGTCACTGAGAGCTCCCCTTCTGTACGTACTTACCCAGTTGCCAAAATAACCCCTCTTAGTAACTGGCAGCTTTAAAAGCCAGTCAGCAGCTGACTTCGAAGCAGAAGGTCAGCAAAAGGGAGTGAGACGCTTCGATTCAGAACTTTAATGTGATCCTTGACTGCAGAGCAAAAGGGCTTGATTGGGCTGTTTGGAGTGTGTTACATACAGACTGGAAAGTCATCTTCATAGTCTTTGAACCTTTTGTGTATATATAGATATATATATTCTTCACTCTGTTGATTTCAAGATGAATGTGCAGCCTTGTGCTAGATGCGGCTTTGGGGTTTACTCTGCTGAGAAGATTAACTGTATAGATCAGGTCAGTAGACATTCTCTATCTTGGTCATTTTGAACGTTAATAAACATATGCATTGGTACTTTATTTTTGGGCCTAATCCTGCTTCCATTGAAGACACTGCCAAAGCTCCCCAGACTGTACATTCTTTATTCCTACTGGATTTCAGAACTGAGATGAACTTCATTATAAAAGTTTGTTGGAACAAAATTAAAAACAACAAACAAATTCGAAATGACAATAGATCTATTTAGTACATGTTCATTCACACAGTGGGAAATGGTTATTAATTCTATGGATAGAAGGGATCAATATTGCTGTTTAAAATCACTAGAATAATACAATATGAAATACAAGTAACTTTCACTATATTTTTATCTTTTGGAATTCTAGACATGGCACAAAGCCTGTTTTCACTGTGAAGTCTGCAAGATGATGCTAACTGTAAATAACTTTATCAGCTATCAGAAAAAGCCTTACTGTCAAGCGTAAGTGTGTTTCCTTATAAAAAAATAATCATGGTGTAAAATTTAAGTTACCATAATTCATCAGAAGAGTATGTTTGGGACAGATTCTGGTCTCACATACTGTGGTGTGAAACCAGAATAACTCTACTGATTTAGTTGGTGTTGGTCTTGCTTTGAGCAGGGGATTGGACTCGATGACCTCCTGAGGTCTCGTCCAACCCTAATATTTTATGATTCCATGATACTTCAGTAGAATTACTCTGGATTAATATGGGCAGCACTGGCAGATGAGATCAGAATCTGACCTCATATGTAACATTTCCACATTTGTCATGTCGTCTTGTAGCTTAAAAGACACCAAAATAAGTGTCATTTGAAGTATTTAGAAAAGTAAACTATTGTGACTATACTAGGATTTCTGTATCGGCGATTAAGAGTTAACAAGATGTGAATTCACTTAGTAGCCAGAAAAATATGTAAAATGCAGATTTTAGAGGGAGGGTTTTTTCTGAAAGTTTTTTATTTCATAATGATCAATTCCTGTCAAATTTGTCATTTGAAAGGAAGAGCTGACAGTTGTTTTTTATTCTATTATTCTCTTTTGTTATTAGAAACACAGCATTGATATGATATGATCATTAAAATTAATTTAGTTGTAGGCACCTACTCCATAAAACAATAACTTGTGTGTAACCCAATAGTCATGTTGGGGTGGGGGACAGGTTTGTTCAGTGTTTTTAAGAAATATCAAACTAAAAAGAAAACCTATCTTTCTGGTGGTCAATAACATACATTTCTAATTTCGCATTACACTTTCTTTTGTAGACATAACCCAAAAAACAATACATTCACAAGCATATATGAGACACCAGTAAATATAAACGTGAAGAAACAATCAGAAGCAGGAAGTGAGGTAAGAAGCTTTTGGAACAAGTGTGTTTTATATTCAGATGTATTTTATGTTTCAAAAAGACACCATTGTAGTCATGTATTCTGTTCTAGAAATGTTCTAAAACACAAAGTCCAGACAGAAACTCCTTCTCCTCTCCCATGGTCTCTTTGAGAGTATTAAAAGTTTGTATCCAGGTTTGGATCAGAATTTTGCAAATGGGCTCATAATGGGCCACAACAATCAAATACACCCATACTTAAGGGGTTTGAAATCCAGATTTGGATTCAAATTTCCCAGTTTGATTCCATCTGTTGCTTGGTTATGCTGGTATATAGAATTGTTACAATTGTCCCTTAGAAATATATCAATTTTATGTAGAAGAAGACACATTTTGTAACATTTGTTATAAATATTTCAGTGAATGCTGGAGCTGGTTGGAAAATTTTGAAATTTAGACCAAATGAGGGAAAATGTCTAAAATTTTATATGCAGTGTTGCTGTAGATGAGTCAGTCCTAGGATATTAGAGAGACAAGGTGGATGAGGTAATTTTGTGGAATATTTTTTCCTTTTTTCAACAAGAAATTTTTTTCTATCTCTGGTGAATTTGTATCCTATGTGTTCAGTATTCATTTTAAAAAGAGGAATAATGTATTGTGCCTGTTCAACTCTACATTGGAGAAACAAGGTGGGTGAGGTAACATCTTTCATGGAACCAACTTCCGTTGGTGGGAGAGACAAGCTTTTGAGCTTACGCAGAACTCTTCTTCATGTCTGGGAAATGTATTCAGGGTGTCACAACTAAATACAGGGTGGAACAGATTGTTTAGTGTAAGTAGTTAACACATATTACATGTATTCTAGACCTGAAGAAGAGTTCTGCATAAGCTCAAAAGCTTGTCTCTCTCACCAACAGAAATTGGTCCAATAAAAGATGTTACCTCATCTGCGTTATCACTCTACAAGGCTACAACACTTCATACAACTCTACATTATAAGGCCGTTGAGTTCCATTGCAAAGAAAGAGAGCAAAACAATAGTTTTGTCAGTATCGCTAGGAAACCCCAAGGTAGAATTATAGCCTTACTTCTTGTACATTTGGGGCCTCACAGTCCTTACTCGGGCAACGAATCGATTAATATTATTGGGAATCTTCCTGATTGAGAAATGCAGGCTCAGTGTGTAAAGGGATACTTATCTAATATTCTAAGTGGCAGTGCTCACAGAAAATTGCTAGGAATGCTGAACAAAGCTGTGTAAACTTGATAGTGTCAGTCATGTGGGTTCATGAAGACATTTTCTTAAACTTTCTATCGCTTGTTTTGAATTCTGAGTTCAAATGAACCTGAAAACACCAAGCAAAACTTGACTGAAATCCCCAAGTCTTTGATACCAAGCCACAAAGTAGCTTCAGTTTTATTATAATCTGTACCCAGGAGGGTTTTCAAGCATCTGATGAACTTGGGCTGAGATTTATAAAAAATACAAAGTCAGGTTTTGCATGGTTTTGTTTTGAGAACATTTTCACTGAAATATTATGGGTGCATTGGATTTTCTTGTATCTGTATCTGTATCAAAGGCTGTTGTGCTCCTGAAAAACACTGGGGGAGCTCAAAGTCTTTTTGTTTGATGGCATTCTTTCCTGTCTTGTGGTGTTTTCCTCCAAAGACATTAGTTTCAATTTTGTATTTCTGGTAACTTTAACATTAGAAAAGTACATAGTAAGATTGCAAATAACCACTGGTAACTGGCCCATTTCCATATGTAATGTTGCTTTACTGACTTTAGTCCCCTTTGATACTATAAAAACTACTACTATTATTATTACATATAGTAAGCATAAACAGTGTGTTCATACATGATTTCACATCCTACTAAAAATTCTCTGTAAATAAGGGAAGAAAGTTGTATTATTTAAATTATTGCACACACTCTTCATATTTTCTCTGCTTTCTGGACAATGCAGGCATCATACATTTAGCAGCATTCATCATACGTTGCACTTTTTCTCCCATTTTTCTTGCACACCATTTTTATGCATCAGGTTTTTGTAATAACTCAGACACTCTTACAACAACAACCAGTATACTTCCTTTAAATTGCGTGTGACAGAGCTGGTCTGGAATGAGTCTGGGATTATTGCAGGTTCTATTTCTGTTTGCAGACTGTGATATGAGATCGCCGTTACTTCCAGTGTGTTTGTGTGTATATATACATGCAAGGCAAATTATAGTTCAGAGATCACTTTCCCTTCCTTTCTCACCTAGAGCAACTCCTGTCCCTTTCAATCACATAGGGAATTTTGAACTCCAAAACTGGGGTTGCTAAGTGTATTTAAGGGCCTGATTCTGCAGTCCTTACTCACTGAAAGTCCCCATTCACTTATATGGCAGTTTTTGGTCTAGAACTGCGTATGCTAAATGTATAAAAGAATTCTCACTTGAGAAAATATTTGAGCTGAAATGTTAATGATCTCAAGTAAAAAGCATATTCAACTGGTAAAACTGAATAAGCTTTTACTTGAGAACATTACATGACATTAGAGAACAAGGATGATTTTGCTCTTAAGGCACTAAACTAGGACTCAAGATATGAGTGCAATTCCTTGCTCTGCCACTGACTTCCTGTGAAGCATCAGGCAAGTCACTTAATCTATCTCTGCTGCTTCTCTTCACCTGTAAAATGGAGATATTGATACATATTTTCAGCATTCTTCTGTCTTGTCTATTTAAATTGTAAGCTCTTCAGGGCAGCAGCTGTTTCTTATGTGCAGGTACAATACCTAGCACAGATAGCGCCCTGATCTCAGTTGAGGCTTCTAGGTGCTATTGCAAAACAAATACTAAATTATAATAAAGTGAAGACATGGAGCTCAATTTTGCCATTAATTTACATTTGTGCAACCTCACTGACTTCACTGAGGTTGCACAGGATAAAGGAGGTAGAATATTACCCACTGACTGATACACAGGACCAATGTTTCATAGTAACACTTGAACTGTATGTTCTGTGCAGATTTCTCTCTTGATTTCAGTTGTCATTATATTACTGGTGTCTAAGAACCAAATTCTCTTCTCAGATTTTCATGGTAGGTTTCAACTCCAGTGTGCTGCTCCTCCTATATGTGTATAACTCCAGTGTCAGCAGAATATCTTAGGGCTAGTCTACACTTACCCGGTAGTTCGACGGCTGCGAATCGAAGTTCCGAGTTCGATTTATCGCGTCTGGTCTGGACGCGATAAATCGAACCAGGAAGTGATCCCCGTCGACTGCGGTACTCCAGCTCAGCGAGAGGAGTACCGCGAAGTCGACGGGGAGCCTGCCTGCCGCGTGTGGACCGCGTCTGAACCGCGGTAAGGTCGAAGTAAGGTATGTCGAATTCAGCTACGTTATTCACGTAGCTGAATTTGCGTACCTTACTTCGATTTGGGGGGTAAGTGTGGACCAGCCCTTAGTCAGAAGCCACTATGTGGATCAGAGAACAGATGTTTGCACTAAGGGATAAATCTAACCTCCTTCACCACCGGTACCTTAGGCAGTGGTGGAAGGCACGCAGAATGCAGGTCTGTGCTCCTTGCATAGCACAGAGTCTACTGCTTGTGTAGCCTTCCTGTATGGCAGTTGGTAGGTGGAGGATGGTGATAAACAAAAGAATCGAAGTAGAATTGGCAAGTAAAGGGGACTCTGGTGGGGTGGCAAGGAAGAAGAGAGTGCAGTGAGCAATGGTTTCTCAAAGGCCGCAGAGTTTGGGTTGTCTAGGCCTGTGTGTTTTGTAGGTCCTAACATAAAATGGCGTGTCTCTATGGTCTGGTCTACACTAAGGGGGGGATCGATTTAAGTTATGCAACTTCAGCTACGTGAATAACGCAGTTTGCACTTACTGTATAGTACTATGTACCCAGGCATGTTCAGCACTTTCCCACCTTAAAATCATGGCCTCAGGCATCCATGATGCGAGAAAAACCTATACATAATTATGCCATTATTTTTTGTAGATTAAATATCGAGAAGAGGGGGAACGATTCAAATCGTTTTTTCACTGGGATGTGGCATCCAGAGATATGGAAGCGGCCCATAGAGTTCAACAGCTGGCCAGACAGGTTAGAGACATTCTTCAAGTACACACGTTCATGTGAGCAGCTAGTATGCAATTCACCAAGCATCGGCCGGGTATGAGCTACTGCCCCATGCTAAATGGGATGATTATTGCTATGCTTTTATTCACCATATTTCAGTCATGAGAGTCCATTTATTATTATTTCCTTAATAGCTTGTTTAACTTTCACTTGCTTTTCCAGGTAGCATATTTTAGTCATTAAAAAGAGGAGAGCAAGAGTCAGGAGATTTGGATTCTATTCCTGACTCAGCCATGGAGTCATGCGTGAGCTTGGTCAAGTCACTTACCTTCTCTGTGCCTTTGTTTCCCTTTCTGTAAAATGGATATAATCAGACTTGCCCATCTCTGTAAAACTTTCAGAGATCCTCAGATGAAAGGTGCTGTGTAAGTGCTAAGTATTATTATAATCCATCATTTGTCTTGCCACTTTTTCTATTTACTGCAAATATTGAATGAAATTCTGGCCCCATTAACGTCAATGGTAAAACTCCCATTGACTTCACTGAGGCCAAGATTTCACCCAATGTGTTTTGCTAGTGGTTTTTTTCTGCCTACCCCAGTTTCTCCTCTGACTTGATCCTGAAGTAGAGCCATAATGCTGAATTTGTGACAGTATTAATTTTCAAGGTGAATGTCGCAAACCCAGGATCAGGGACAGGAAGAAAGTGGGCAGGAAGTTAGGAATCCCTGATTAAACTCATCTATGTGAGCGAGTAATAAAGGGAGAACAGAAAACTACTGCCCAAGATAACTATTTATTTTTTTTTAAAAGTTTTTTGCTAGTGTTAAAAAATAAATAAATCTCCCTTAACATAGAGATGGGAACAATAATAGAAAATGTAAAGGGCTAGCTCGATGATTTATTGGGCTATAGAACCATTCATCTTATTTTGGTGGTTCAGACCCATCCTACGTTAGTAATAAGTAAAATATGCTGCTTTTGAAATGGTCTAAGCCCATTATCACTCTTCTTGGCAGTCTCAGCAGACAGCCCAAATACTCACAAGTCTATAAATAACTGTCCTTTCGAGAAGATGTCCCTTTTGGCAGGGCAATCTGGATGCTGCCTGTGCAAGCAAATAGAGGACTTCACTTTTCAGAGCTTTCAGTCTGGCACTTTTCACACTCTGAATTCTTATGAAATAAGTCTGACAAAAAAGAAAATATCCATCTTCAATTGCTGAATTTTCAGATTTGCCTGCACATCTAGCACAGATTTAGCATCAACAGTAATGCTGGTCTAGCAAATTCATTGCTGTCTGCATGACGTTCGGCGTTACTCAGCAAATGTTTTACTGGAGTTTTGGGAAATGGGCCCTAATTTCATATCACTAAAGCAAATCTTATGGAACGTGCTCAGAAATATTCTTTGATGTGGAAAGGATCAGCACAAAATTCATAACACTTAAGATCCGCCTATGTTCTCCAAATGAGACTGAAGAGGAGCATAGACCTCATGCTTTCCCTCTGCATAGGAATATGTTTCACCCATAGTGAATGATGGTTTTCTTTTCCCTGCCTGGCAGATTAACTGTTCGGGTTTAAAAATGAGTATACACATTTCCGCTGACTTAATCTTTCCTTTTTTAGAAAGCCTTCCAAGCTGCATATGAGGAAAACAAATCCTGGTATTCTGGAACCATCCCAGATCCTGAAACGGTCAGGATAGCTCAGGCACAGAAGACTCTCGGTGATGTATGTGGGCTGACATTCGCAATAACTTTATTTGTATGAGTTATAGTGTTCTGAGGACTTTCCAGTTTAGAATAGCCAAACTTTCAATAACAAATTACAAAAGGAGAAGGTGACATGCATTTACTGCTATGTTGAGAGAGAGTGTTGAGCCTTGTGAGCGCTATCTATATATACCGTCAAGGTCACCTAACAGTGTTACTGCCAAGCTTAGAAATTATATTCAAGTGGAACTACCATGAACTTCTGCAATTAAGATACACTTCAGCTACAGGAGAGTAACATCTTAAGTAACTTTGATTGTAGATGGAATCCAACATATTTCTACATCTTCCAGTGGTGCTACCACCTATAGGCTGCACCAACAGTGGATTACACATCTTATTTTTTGTAGAGTAGACAAGGATCTATTGCTGTTCCATCAACCTGAAGTGAATGGAAATCAAACTTAGTATAAGAATTGAAGATCTGTGCCTATGCAAGGTGGTCTTTACTAAACTAGTGACTAATGTAAATATTTTGTTTGCAAAAATATTGAAGGAAAAGATTATAAACAGATTTTTTCCACTTTACATAGGAAATGTTCCTAAATTTCAAACTTATAAAATACATTTTCTTTTATGTGTCAATTATTTTAAAACTCTTTAAACATGTGTAGCCAAACTGATGGGACCTGTGATTTCCACTTTGGTTAAGTCCATTATAGGTTTTTAAAAGTCATCAGGATAATATAACCCAAAACAATTAGAATGTGTGCATTAAAAGAGGTGGACAGAGGGTTTTTCTTTAACAAAATAAAAATTATATAATTTTCTAGTTGAAATACACAGAAGAATATGAACAACAGAAAGGCAAAGGCAGTTTTCCAGCCATGATGACTCCAGCTTACCAGATAGCTAAGAAAGCCACTCAGCTAAGCAGTGAAGTAAGTCCCAATTTGTGTGTGTCAAACTTATTGAAGTTCAACGAAACTTGGATTTAAAACAGTTCATGTTAAAAGGTGCATTCCATAGCCAACAGTCATTGTAAAATAACTCCCGTAAAAGTGAAAAAAACCTTGAATGTGATACATTGACACAGGAGTCTCTAGCAAACTAGCTAGCCTTGGAAGAATGTCACATATAACAAGTGGAGCTTGAAACTTGTCTGTTTCACCAACATAAGTTGGTCCAATAAAAGATGTTGCCTCACCCACCTTGTCTTTCATGTATAACAAGTGACAGTATGGGCATTTTCTAAGATCTATGGGACACTTATGACATCATGGCCATCTCAAATTTAAAAAAAAAATGAATTGCTGTACCATTCTATACCCTGTGAATTATTTACTCTTATTTTCCTTTTTTATTTTTATTCATTTATTTATCCACTTATTCTAACTTTTTCATCTCTCTTTCCCTTTTAGTATGTAAAATTATATATCAGTACACTAGTAAATTAATTTGCCTAGAATTTACTTTAACTTATCTATGCACGTAATGTACCATGTTATAAAAATAACAATCCAATCCAAAGAAATCCAGTGAAAATAAGAACCATACAAAGCATTTGAAAAATACTGCTGTGGCTTCCATGTATAGCATCAACCATTGCAATAATACAATTGTAAGCTATAGGGGTTTGGGTCATTACTGAAGAATCTTGTAGTGATTTTATTGAAGAATATTGTTCACCCAAAACAAACATTTTGGACCATATCAAGCTGCTCCCACTGAGTTTGGAGTCTTTCCATTGACTTTAATAGGCATTGCACTGGGGCCTTAAAATGAAGACAGCTTACTATGTTGTAGATATCAGCATAACCACTCTTATTTTTTTTTCTGTTTATCTGTATTAGTAAAGAGAGAATGCTGTATAAAGTACCAGAAAAAAATATTTTTTCCCCATAGCGCAGTTTTCTTTCATTGCCATAAAATGAACACCTCTGGCACTTGATAGATCCAGACAGGCTGAGTGAAATAATAGAACAATTAAACTAATGCACATAGTTTGATGAGTAAAATCAGAACACACTGTAGTGACAGCCACTTTTAGTCAGTAGTAGATACACCTGCCTTTGTATTTACAGCTGAGGGACTTATATTAAGGACAGAAAACTGTGAATAATTCATTAGCTGAAACAAAGGTCAGTTCTTCTGTTGCCTTTTCAAGCCTTATGGAAGGAAATACCCAGATATTTGCTAGTAAATAGTTTTAAAATGCATTTTATATCTTCTGCCTCCCAGGTGGCATATAAGCGAGGACATGAAGACAGAGTTTCCAGCTATACCACTGTCGTAGACACTCCAGATCTACTGCATGCAACGGCTGGAGGGAAGCTTATGAGTGATGTAAGCATAACAGGAGAGAACAAGCAACCTGTTTAAATCCTGAATAATCCCTAGAGCTGGCCTATCCTGAGTACAGAATGAGGCTGGGGTCTTTTGGGAAAAATAGTATTTGATCATGTAATTAATGACTATACATACAAGGCTGTGAGGTGGTGAGGGATGATGGTGAACGAAGGTTGCGCAGGCAACTTTACTCTGACATTTCCTGACTTTTGAGTGGTTGACTTTGCAACCTCAGTAATGTTCTTTTAAGGTAGCTTTTTTGTGTGTAGCAGATATAAATGTGCGCGATATACTTGTTCCTACCTTATCTTGCTTTTTTTACAGCTGAAATACACAGGAGAATATGAACAGCAGAGAGGGAAAGGCAGCTTTCCTGCTATGATCACTCCAGCTTATCAGATAGCCAAGAAAGCTAATGAACTAGCCAGTGATGTAAGTATCAAATGCAATTCTTTTGAGGAAAAAAATCCAACAGATTTAGGGCCAAATTCTTTTCTGGCAAAATCCCATCAGTGCCAGTGGAGTTACATCAGCAGAGAATGTGGCCTGTAGGATTTCAGGTAATTATTTTTGCATGGACAGGTCCTGTGTTATACACGAGGGAAAATAAGGCCATTATATTTTGAAAGCAATACTGTTAATCTCTGGGGGCAGAAGGCCCTCCCAAGCTGCACTTGGACACAGAGGAATGAGGGGCGTGGCCATAAGGAGCCACTAGTGACTCTCTGATCCCACTCTGCTCAGTTTTGGCATAAGTTAGAGGAGCAGCTCTAATTTATACCACAGGCACAAGGTCCCTCTTACAGGAGGATTGGTTTTAGCAGAGCTCTGCCCCTGCCCTTGCTCACCCCTGATCCCCTCTCCTTCCCTTTATGTTGGTGCAGGAGTGAGCTTTGACTGAGAGGCACAAAGTGAACTAGAGAAACCAGTCTTTGGAGTATTAAGTATATATGTATAAATAAAATGAAATATGGAAAGCCTTTCAAATGTATGTTGGCTCTGGACTGATATTATTTCAGAACCACCCCCCTCTCTTGCCATTCTCTTGGAGTATTATTGTGCATGGTGCCGAGCACTCTGGTGAGGGGCTGAATGCCCTGCATTCCTGCTGAAGTCATTTGGAGCTGAACTCACGTCGCAGCTCTCAGGAGTGCTAAGCACCTTTCAGGATTGACCCTCCATGGAGCAGTGTGAGCCTGGGATCTTTAGTGAATGTCATTTGTCTGCCTTTGCCTCAGTGCCACAATTACGTTTGTTGTGTACATTTGTGGTGTTAAATGTGTACCAACCCCACTGCCAGAAGCTGTGATGATTTTAAAAAAGCAGTTTCAAGGGAAGATAACATTACCAGCCTCCTACGAGGCTAAATTAAATCATGTGTGTTCAAACTGACTCATTAGTATCAATTTTTACTCAGGCAGTGAAAGGAAATACGTATAGCATATTGTGCTAGCTACATGGAATGTAGCTTAAAACCAGAATGGAGAATTTTCTGGTTATTAATTCATCAGTGAAAGTCAAGAAGGACCCTTAGTCTTAAAGACAAAGGCAGATGAGTTCCAAACATTGAAACTTTATACACTGCCCTTGATCTGTGGAGGAACTCTTATTGGTGTAAAAAATCACCTGTGTAGGATAAAGGGCAAGCTTGCATATAGCTTGTAGGCATTATTTTGACTTCAGTAGAGAGATTGTAAATCTTGGGCCTGAACTTGAAAGCTGCTCACCTAAAGCTACCACTGGGCCTAGTGACATGCTAGTGATCAGCACCTCTCAGAATCAAGCCTCTTATTATTAAAAATAATTATTGGTGGGCAAATGATCCTGCAGTAGAGTGTGCAAAGCACATTGAGATCAGGTAGGATGAAAAGCACTATATAGAGACTCTGCACTTATGTGACTTATGTGTTTATTTTTAACCTTCTGGCACATCAGATGTTAGCCACTGCCAGATGTAGAATGCTATACTTAGCAAACTAATGATCTGAACTGATATAGCAAGTCCTATGTTCTTAAAATTTTATTAAATACAAGTAGAAAACTTGGCTTCTGAAGACTGGTTGCAGTGGAAATTTTTTGGCAAACCTTTATTATTAACATGTGCATGTGATTTATTATACGGCATGTATGTAACAGGCTGAACTCGTCTGGCTTGATCTTCTTTTCTTTCTGTTAGGTGAGGTATCATCAAAAATATGAAAAAGAGATGAAGGGAAAAGCCAGCCATGCAACTGGAACAGATGATGCTTTCACAAAAGAAAATATAGATCACTTTAGCCAGGTATGCAACAACTAAGAGATACTCATGTACCCATGCTACAGCTGGTTGTTAATACTGCCAAATGCTTAGAGTTTACTAATGGCAATGAGATTTGCTGTCCCCTGTTGTAAACTTTGTTTTCCCATATGAGAAATCAAGACCTCAAGGAGAGAGCAGCATGATAATACCATAGTCTGAGTACAGTAACTCCTCACTTAACGTTGTAGTTATGTTCCTGAAAAATGCAACTTTAAGTGAAACAATGTTAAACGAATCCAATTTTCCCATAAGATTTAATGTAAATGCAGGGGGTTAGGGTCCAAGGAAATTTTTTTGGGGCAGACAAATGGCATTATACTGTACAGTCCTGTGCTGTACTGTGGTTGGGAAGTGCCCCTGGCTTACCCCACACAGGCACAGCCCGCTGCAGATAATGAGGCAGGCAAGGACGCTAGGAAGCACCTTGCGCAGCAGCAGCTTCCCTCCAGAAGAACAGGTGCTGACTTTGCTGGGGGATGCTCCAGGCCTGCCTCTTCCCGTCCCCGCTCCATTCCAGGCCCACCTCTTCCCACCCCCACTCCACCTCCTCCCCAGAGTACGCCACGTCCCCGCTCCTCCCCCTTCCTCCCAGCGCTTCCCTGCCCCCAAACAGCTGTTTGGCAGCACTTAGGACTTTCTGGGAGGGAGGGGGAGGAGCGGAGACGCGGCGCTTCCTCGCTCCTCTCCCTCCCACCAGTGGCAGATTTAGAGTTAGTGGGGCCCTGTGCTCAGGTTCATTTTTGGGGCCCCCCTGGGGGGAGCATTCTCTCTTATCTCCTCCCCCCCCCCCGTTTTTC